TGGGTGCTATCCAATTACAATATTTTTAGACGTTTTCGTGCACACGGCAACACAAGTTGCGTTTCAATTGTCCGTTATCGTCGACACAATACTACACATCCATACTCAGTCGAAGGCTGTGTAATGCTAGATTCACTGTGCATCCGATGTGCGTCGTACAACGCTCTGCAATCAATCAGAAAATAGGATTCCGATGATACGAAGCAAAATCCATGGAATCTTGTTTTCTGATTGGTTGCAGAGCGTCGTACGACGCACATCGGATGCAGTGTGAATCCAGCATAAGCGTAACCTGCGTATTCTAGTAATTTACTGGATCTGGAACCACTGGTAGTGTCTCGGCGCTAAATTACGCGCAGCGACACTACCGTCACAGTCAGGATTGGGCACGTATTATACACGAGGTTTTTACATAGTATATATTATACATGAGGCCTGTTCTTTTTGGCTGAACTTTTGCACCAGTTCATCTTTCTTCCTCTTCTTTCCTTCCGGATAGAAAAGGAAAAAAGATGAACTGGTGCAAAAGTTCAGCCAAAAAGAACAGGCCTATGGTATTATACAATATAAAGGCCATTTTACATTGGTCGTATCGTAGACGTCGCAAGTCACAAGCTTGTAACTTCAGCCAATCTGATGCTTCAATTTTAAAATCGTATGATACATACAACGCTTCCGATGCTACAATAGCACCAATGTAGAATGGCCTTAATACATCATTTAGTTTTATATGTATTATACAAAGGCATGGACCTCTGTTACACGGCACGCTTAATCGGGTTTAATAACATCAGTAGTTATGAAATTGGCCAATCATAGCTTTTCGTCGGGAGAATGGAATGATTGTGATTGGCCAGTTTCATAACTACGGATGTTATTAAACTCGATTAAGGGTGCCGTGTAAATGTAGTCATAGAGAATAAACTGCGCGATCCGTGTATCAAAATGATCGGGTGGCACCCAGTTGGACACGGCTCAATTGGACACGAGCCACTCACAGCGCTTCAGACTACAAAGCTCCTAAGCACCGGTCGCTGTGATTGGTGGTGTCCAATCGAGCCGTGGTCAATCGGGATCACCCCAAAATGATCGATAAGGATGAGAGAGAAGGACCGTGGCAGACGGCCATTTCTATCTCATTCCATTCAATGGTGTAATGGGAGAGAAAATGAAAGGGGGATTGGCCGTCTCCCACGGTCCCTCTCTCTCATTAATGTCGACCACATTTGATACACTACTTAGATACGGATCGCGC